CTGCCTTCTCGGCCCGTCGCCTCGTCGCGGCCTACTCAAGCCGCCCGTCGCGGCCCTTCCCTGCCGCCCCTCGTCGCGGCCCCGACCTTGCCGCCCGCCGCGGCCTCTGCCCTGCCGCTGCTCGTCGCGGCCCTGCTCTACCGCCGCGCAGCCGCGGCCCTGCCCTGCCCTGCCGCCCTGTCGCGGCCCTGCTCTGCCGCCGACGCATCGCGGCCCTGCCCTTCAGCCGCCCCAGTCGCGGCCCTGCTCTACCGCCGCCAAGTTGCGGCCCTGCCCTGCTGCCGCCCCAGTCGCGGCCCTGACCTAACCGCCAGCTGCGGTCCTGCCCTGCACCCGCCCCTGGTAAGCACCCGCGCCGCCCAGCCGAGCCGCGCCGCTCCTGCCGCGCCGCGCCGCCCTGCCGAGCCGCGCCGCCCAGCCGAGCCGCGCCGCCATACCGAGCCGCGCCGCCCTGCCGAGCCGCGCCGCCCTACTGAGCCGCACTGCCCTGCCCGCACTGCTCCTGCTGCTACTGCTGCTTCTGCTGCCACTGCTGCTACTGCTGCTACTGCTGCTACTGCCACAATGGCTAGCCCTAGTGTTCTTACCTATGATGCTGAGGGGCGTGCGGTTGACTTTGACGTGTGGGTTGACGACCTACAACTCTTTCTTCAGTGTGACTCTAAGGACGGAGTATCCCTTTTCGATCACATGTCCGGTGTCTCTCCTGCACCTGCTGCCACTGCTGACAGTACGGTTCGCTCACAGTGGACCACTCGTGACGCTGTTGCTCGCCTTGTTGTTCTTAGTCACCTGCCGTCTGCTGAGCGCGCGCACTTTGGCCAGTACAAGACTGCTCAGTCTTTGTATGACGATGTCGTAGCGCGCTACTCCTCCCCTGCCACTGCTGCCCTCAGCCGCATCATGCTGCCGTACCTGTTCCCTGACCTTGCCGCCTTTGCCACAGTCGCTGACCTCATTACTCACCTCCGCACTAGTGACGCCCGCTACCGCGCTGCGCTTCCCACTAAGTTCTGTGCCAAGAACCCCCCCCCCCATGTACATCACCCTCTACTACCTAGTCACCCGTCTCCCTGACTCCCTTTCTTCAGTCAGGGACCACTTTCTCTCCCTTTGCCCCACCGAGCTCACCGTCGACCTGCTAGAGGAGCGCCTCACTGCAGCTGAGAAGAGTATCGTTGCTGTAGGTGCTTCTCGCGGCGACCCTCGTGCCCCTTTCTTTGAGGGGTGTTCCCCTGTCCCCCTTCTCCCCTCTGTTGCTTCTGCTGCTGCTGTCGACCTCGTTGGCACTGAGGAGGTCGGGGCTGCGTCTGCTCCTAGTGGGAGGCGCCGCAACAGCAAGGGCAAGGGGGGCAAGGGTGGTGGAGGGGACGGTGGGGGCGGCGGTGGAGGCGGTGGAGGAGGCGGAGGGGGTGGCGGTGGAGGTGGGGGTGGTGGCGGGAGTGGGGGCGTCGGTGGCGGCGGTGGGGGTGGTGGAGGCAGCGGCAGCGGCGGTGGAGGCAGCGGCAGCGGAGGTGGAGGTGGCGGCGGCGGTGGTGCTGGTCGAGGTGGAGCAGCGCAGCGTGGAGGCTTTGGTGGTAGCCAGCGCCAGCAGCAGCCGCGTTCCCGTGAGACCCCGTCGGCCCAGCAGCTTCGTGAGTGGTAAGCTGGGCGTGGGAGGTCTGGGGGTTCTGGTCCCTGCACTTACGTTCTTCGCACCGGCGGGCGCCGTGGGGAGACGTGCGGAGGGCCACACACTACGCAGCGCTGCTTCGGTCGCCTGACTGACGCCTGGCGTGCCCAGTTTCCTGACGCTGTTGAGCTCCCTCGCTGGGGTGATCTGCTTAAGCAGAATGTTGTTATCTTTGATCTTGACTTCGATGCTATCCTTGCTGCCATGTATGCTGTGACTGATAGTGCTGAGGGTGACTGTTACCTGTGTGTTCCGCCCGACCCGGGCATTGAGGCTGCTGCTCTAGGTGCTAGTGAGTCTGCTGCTCCAGGTGCTAGTTAGTCTGCTGCTCCAGGTGCTGGTGAGTCTGCTCTCTCTGGTACTGCACCTACTGAGGCCTTGCACACTTTCACACTTGACTCAGGTGCTTCGCGCTCTTTCTTTCGCGACAGCACCACACTCACGCCGCTCCGTCGGCCTGTTGCAGTCTCCCTGGCTGACCCCTCTGGGGGCCCAGTCCTTGCGCACTCCTCCACGGTCTTACTGTGTCCTGCGGCCCCGTCGGGCTTGCTGTCGGGACTCCACCTCCCCTCGTTCTCTACGAACTTGGTGAGTGGAGCTGACCTCCAGGACGTGTGGGTTGACCAGTTCACCCCTGGAGGTCAGCGTGTGACCCACTGCACTTGCTCTCGGACGGGCCGCCACCTGGCCACGTTCACCTGTTGACCTGGGTCGAGTCTGTACACACTGACTACTGCGTCTCCTCCGGTTACTGTGTCTGGTCAGGTAGCCGCGTCTGGTCAGGTGTTTGCTGCCGCGTCCAGGTCTAGTCCGGCGTCTGCCCCCTGCTCGTGTCGTCCTCTGTCACACGAGACTCTCCTTTGGCACCACCGCCTTGGTCACCCCTCCCTGCCTCGTCTTCGAGGTATGGCCTCACGTACTCTTGTCTCTGGTCTTCCCCCTACCATCCCTCCCCTTCCTCCGGGGCCTGCCCCTACCTGTGTTCCTTGTGTCGAGGGCAGGCAGCGCGCCGCTCCTCACTCCTCCGAGTTTCCTCCGACAGAGGCTCCCCTGCAGACTCTCCACATGGACGTGTGGGGCCCAGCCCACGTCCGTGGACAGGGTCACGAGCGTTACTTCCTGCTGGTCGTTGACGACTACTCGCGTTACACCACAGTCTTCCCCTTGCGCCGCAAGGGTGAGGTCACTGAGGTGTTGATCGACTGGATCCGCGGTGCCCGTCGACAGCTCAGCGAGAGTTTCGGCTCGGACCTTCCTGTTCTGCGTCTGCACTCAGACAGGGGTGGTGAGTTTTCCTCCGACCTTCTGCGGGCTTTCTGTCGTGCGGATGGCATCCGCCAGACGTTCACACTTCCGGCCTCCCCACAGCAAAATGGGATTGCTGAGCGCCGCATTGGGATGTTCATGGACGTCGCTCGTACGTCCATGATCCATGCGGCTGCTCCCCATTTTCTGTGGCCGTTCGCGGTTCAGTACGCTGCGCATCAGATCAACCTTCAGCCTCCTGTCTCCTTGCCGGAGACCACACCTACTCTGCGGTGGACGGGGAAGGTTGGCGATGCATCTGTGTTCCGTGTCTGGGGATCTCGAGCTTTTGTCCGCGATACTTCCGCGGACAAGCTGTCCTCCCGTGCCGTTCCCTGTGTCTTCCTTGGCTTCCCCCCTGACGTGCCTGGGTGGCAGTTTTACCACCCCACCTCGCGTCGTGTTCTGTCCTCTCAGGACGTCACGTTTGACGAGTCGGTATCTTACTACCGTCTCTTTCCCTACCGCACTGCCCCTCTCCCCCCCTCCGCCGCTCTTCCTAGCACCAGGTGCTCCTCCGGTAGACCCCCTCCCCCCTCAGGGTCCTGCCCCCTCAGGTGTGTCCCAGGTAGACCCTGTCGAGCCTGTTGAGGTAGCTGTCGACTCTGGTACTGCTAGGGGTGCTGAGCCTGCGGGTGCGGGTGCGGGGCCTGGGGTTGCTGAGTCTGGGGGTGCTGAGCCTGAGTGTGTGGAGCCTGGGGGTACTGAGCCTGGGGGTGCTGCGTCTGGGGGTGCTGAGCCTGAGCGTGTGGAGCCTGGGGGTACTGAGCCTGGGGGTACTGCGTCTGGGGGTGCTGAGCCTGAGCGTGCTGAGTCTGGAGGTCCTCCGGGTGTCTTGTCACGGCGGGAGTCCCTCTCTCCACAGCAGCTGCGAGAGTGGTACGCTCGGCGCTGTCGCCGTGTTGCTGGAGCTGCTGGAGTTGGAGCTACTGGAGGTCCTGCTGGTGCTGGAGCTGCTGGGGGCGCTGGAGCCACTGGTCCCGGAGGTGCTCGCATTGGAGGTGCTGGAGCTACTGGAGTTGGAGCTGCTGGAGGTCCTGCTCGTGCTGGAGCCGCTGGTCCCGGAGGTGCTCGTACTGGAGGTACTGGAGCTGCTGGAGCTGGTGGTGCTACAGGAGTTGGAGCTGCTGCTGCTGGAGGTGCTGCTGGTGCTGGAGCTGGTGGTGCTGCGGGAGTTGGTGCTGCTGGTGCTGGAGCTGTTGCTGCTGGAGGTGCTGCTGGAGCTGGAGCTGCTGGAGGTACTGCAGCTAGTGGTGCTGCGGGAGTTGTAGCTGGGGACCCTGGAGCTGGGGGTACTGGTGCTGTCTCTGCTGGTTCTGGAGGCGCTGCGCGGCCGCGGCCGTACTACGTTACGCTCCTTCAGCAGGTTCTTCGCCTCCCGCCTTCTACTGGTCCTACTTCTCCGTTACTGTGTCCACAGCCTGTCCAGTCACAGTCGCAGTTACAGCCAGCCTCTCCACTGCCTGGTCCTTCTCCTTACTCTGGACCGACTAGAGGTCTTATGGAGCGTCGTGAGCCTGAGTCTCGTCCTGCGTCGCCTGAGTCTCGTCCTGCGTCGCCTGAGTCTCGTCCTGATTCGCCTGTTCGCGCTGTCCGCACTGGTCGTCGTGTTCCGCGTCAGCATCCTCCTCCTGTCCCCGGCACTCACTATATGACTCTGCGTCGTTCCACTGCTCCACAGCGTGTCCCTCTGCCGTCTCCTCCTGCGTCCTCTCTTCCTGACGGTCCGGACCCGGAGTCTGACTCCCTTCGTGCTGCTAGTCCTACTGTCACGCGTTTCTTCGCCACTGTTGTCACTGACCCTTCGTTTGAGTCCACTGCTGCGTCTGCTCTAGTTGCTGAGCTTGTTGACTTTGCTGCCGCCTGTCGTCTAGACTACGCCGCTAGCCTTGTTGCTGAGTCTGAGTCTGAGTCTGTCTGTCCTCCGCCCGTCGGGGGTGAGTGTGCTCTTGGCACGGACGTCCTTGAGGACAGACAGGAGGAGTTTGAGTGCTTTGCCGCTGCTTTACCTCATCTCGTGTCCATGCTGCTTGCCCCTGAGGGAGACCCGGATGCACCAGACATCCCGACCCCGCGCTCTTACGCAGAGGCGATAGAGGGTCCCTACTCCTCTCAGTGGCAGACAGCCATGGACGCAGAGATGGCTTCCTGGAAGTCCACAGGCACCTACGTCGACGAGGTTCCCCCACCTGGGGCGAACATTGTCAGTGGCATGTGGATTTTCAGGGTGAAGCGGCCGCCGGGTTCTCCGCCTGTCTTCAAGGCGCGTTACGTTGCTCGAGGCTTCAGTCAGCGACAGGGAGTTGACTTCTTCCAAACCTTCTCCCCTAACCCGAAGATGACCACTCTTCGGATGCTGCTGCACGTCGCCGCTCAGCGTGACTACGAGCTTCACTCTCTTGACTTCAGCACTGCTTTCCTACAGGGCAGCCTGCACGAGGAGATCTGGCTGCGCCGCTCACCTGGCTTCACTGGGTCGTTTCCTGCTGGTACCCAGTGGAGCCTCCGGCAGCCAGTCTACGGTCTCCGCCAGGCACCCCGTGAGTGGCACGACACACTGAGGACGACTCTTGCTGCTCTTGGGTTTGCTCCTTCTACTGCTGACCCGTCACTGTTTCTACGCACCGACACCACTCTGCCGCCGTTCTACGTTCTCGTGTACGTAGACGACTTGGTCTTTGCTACTGCTGACACTGAGGCACTCGCCCACGTGAAGTCGGAGCTGCAGAAGAGACACACGTGCACAGACCTGTGTGAGCTGACAAGCTATCTTGGCTTGCGGATCACCCGGGACAGAGCACAGCACACCATTACCTTGACTCAGTCACACATGGTGCAGCAGGACCTTCAGCGCTTCGGCTTCACGTACTCCTCGCCACAGTCCACTCCTCTGCCTACCTGTCACTCGCTCTCAGTTCCAGTTGTGAGGCTGAGATCTACGCAGGGGCCATGGCTGCACAGGAGTTACGCTGGCTCACCTACCTGCTGACCGACCTGGGAGAGCCGCCTCGTTCTCCTCCAGTGCTGTACGTCGACAACAGGGCCATGATTGCCTTGTGTCAGGAGCACAGACTGGAGCACAGAACGAAGCACATCGCTATGCGCTACTTCCTTGCTCGAGAGTTGCAGCAGCGTGGTCAACTTCGTCTTGCTTACGTGGCCACTCGGGCCAACACTGCTGATGTCTTCACCAAGGCGCTTCAGCCTTGTGATCATCAGCGTTTCTGTACTGTTCTAGGCCTTGTGCCTACTGTGCCTCACTTGCTTACTTCTTGACTCTGCCTGTACTGTGATCTCTATACCTATACCTGCATGCTTGCACTTGCTAGGTTGTGATCACTGTATTGCTTGTTCTCCTTTATATAACTCTGCATGTGAACTGGCCTTGTGGCCATTTGTTTGTGCTCAGACTGCGTGGTGACGTCGTGATCCACCCTGGGTTTGCTTAGCCTTTCTTGACCGGTCTTGTGACCTCTTGTTCTCCCCCACTTTGCCTATGGGGGTGTGTCAAACTTATATGCTATAGTCTGTGTAGGCTGTAGTGGGGTAGTTCATATAGGGTACAACACTTATAGGTTTCCTACTTGTACCCACCTGCTTGCTAGTTCAGTCATTCCTTCCTTCACTATTCTGACAAAAAGTAGGTTTTGCAGGCTGTAAGGAAGAGAGCTAGGATGCGATGTAGCGTTTCCACACTTGAATAGGAGACATTGTCGTACACCTGTGAGCATCGGTCCCTCCATAGAGTTGTCCTGGGGGAGTGACGGTCGGGAAGAAAACGGCTTCGTTCGGAATTGATAGGCGTAGGTGCTTACTGGTGACGCGTTGCAGAGCGTCGGTTATCAACGGGAGTTGTGGTTGGCCCCGTCCTCACTTGGGCGGAGCCGACTTCGTAGTCGGGCGTGCGGGGAGCGCAGCCAATCAGTTGCAGTGAGGGCGCCAAGCTGGAGGGCGCCGAGTAGGAGGACGCCGTCATGGGCGCCTGGACGGCGTCCTGTGAGGCTGGACGCCGACCTGGGCGCCTGGACGCCGACCTGGGCGTCTGCACGGCGTCATGGGCACCTGTACGCCGACCTAGGCGTCTGGACGTCGACCTGGGTGCTGGGACACCTCTTTTGGGGACGCCGGTCTGGTGTAGCCGGCGTCCGACTGGGCTGGGCGACCAGGCGTGGTTGCCCGGTCGACCGAGTTACCCGGGCGACGTATGTGATGGTCGCCGGGGTGGTTGCTGCGAGGCCGACCTCGGAAGTGGTATCCCGAGGTCGACGTGGCTGGTAGGCGCAGTCACTGGCGTGGACGCGACCTGGACGTCTGCGCTGTGCACGTGACAAGGAGTGGTGCACCAACCAGCTGCACGCACCTGCGAAGCAGGTGCACCGTTGTCCTGTGGGTGCAACGCTGTGCAGCCAACTTGCTGCAGCGTTGGCACACCATGGACTTGCAACGTTGGCAAACCGCTACTCTGCAACGCTGGAGCGGTGTGAGCTCTGCTGCGCTGGATCGCGGTCAACCATGCTGCGCTGGAGGTCGACCAGCAGCCTAGCTAGCTCCGATGTAGTCTGTCTTGCCAATGTTGTATCAACCATTGCTGTCAACTTTCCTTAGTGAAACTCTTGCCAAATCCCCCCGTGAACTAGCAAGCAGTAAGAACACAAGGAAACGACTAAGGAATGCAGAGATCACTCAAGCCCCGTGCCGAGCCCGTAGTCTAGCTCCCGTTGAAATAGTTATCTCCGCATCGGTGACTATTGGTGCGTTTCCACACTCGAAAAAGATGTGCGTATGGGACTCGGTGATGTTTGCATGGCAGCGCTGGCAGATGCTGGTCGGGGTGAAGGGCATTCTTGCTCCGCAACCGAAAATGGAAGGCCTCGCTGTCGGCTTGTCTGGTCCTTGAGGAAGGAGTGATTCAGGTCAGGTAGTGATCGTAGTGGAGTATGTAGGGAGTCATTCCATTGCTCGACGTGGTCCAAGGCTTGCGGTGAGTAGAGATTCTTCCGTATCATTGCTAGCAAAGGTTGTTGACGCAGAAGTTCGTGCCGTATGCCGAGCGCCGCTCGGGTGAGTGACCAACGCGGACAAAACACGGGAGACGACAGGACGTGGGGCACGGAGGTAGTCGGACAGCGGGTCGGGAAACACAGTGAGGGACGACTCAGGAGGCTGTGGAAGGACCGGAGGAGGTGGAACACGAGAGCGGAGAACAAGGTGAAACGGGCCGTCTGCACGGTAACGAGGCTGACGGGGCTCTGGAGACACAACACGACTTAGGGGAGAACGACGAGTCCACGGAGACGAGGAAAGGGACTCCACAGGGGGAACAGAAGGGGACGGTAGGGGACCACGAACAAAGCGTGCAGGTGCTGGGTCGGGCAGGTTGCGCCGTCGCAGCTGCTCCGCCTCCTCTGGCATCTGCTGCGACGGCACCTGTCCCTGCTGCTGCTCCTGTGACTCCTCCTCTGCTCTCTCCTGCTGCGGCTGCAGCTGCACCTGCTGCTGTAGTCGGGACTCCTGCTCTACCCTCTCCTGCTGTGAACGTGTCTCCCCTCTACTCTCTCTTGCTATGGCTGCACCTGCTCCTGTGGCTCCTCCTCTGCCCTCTCCTGCTGCGGCGGCAGCTGCGCCTGCTGCTGCGGCCGGGACTCCTGCTCTACCCTCTCCTGGTGCGAACGTGACTCCTCCTCTACTCTCTCATGATGTGGCTGCAACTGCACCTGGTGCTGCATTCGTGACTCCTCCTCTACTCTCTCCCGCTGTGGCTGTGGCTCCTCCTATACTCTCTCCAGACGCTGCAGCTGAGACTGTGACTGCTGCTGCTGCTGCTGTTGTCGTGCCCTCTCAAAGCTCTCCCGCTCCTCCCTCTCCAACTGGTCTAGATGCTGCACACGGGTCAGGAAACGTACAGTGCGTGGTGTAGGCATCGCAGTGCCCGTGCCTCCGGCTCCAGCACCCCCAGAACCAGAACCTCCGTCAGCGACCCCCTCAGTGCCTCCAGTACCTCCCGCAGGAACACCCCCAGGCTCCGTAGTAACCGACCGCAAAGGCGAACGAGGAGGGAACTGTGGGACGGACGAGAAGCCAGGGGGTGAGGAAGGGCAAGGGCGCCGACTCGAGGCAGCCGTGTCCTCCACAGGGGTGGCCTCCACGCCCACACCCCCTGCACCCCCAGAGCCGACACCACCAGCTCCAGCAGCCCCAGTGCCCTCACCCTCCGCAGCTGCACCTCCTGCACCTCTAGACGCGACAGGGACCGGACGCTGCGGGGGAGACGACTGCGGCGTGACGTGCGACACACCTGACGGGGCAGGATGTGAAGGGGGGGGGGCTACTGGGGCGACTGGGGGGGGCACCGGGGTGAGGAATAGCGGGGGGGAAGAGGCCTCAGAACCTGGGTGGAGACGACTCCTGTAGTAACACACCGACTCGTCAAAAGTGACGTCCTTAGAACTGAAGAACTCGTAGGTGAGTGGGTCCTAGAACACCCAGCCAGAGGCGTCCAGGGGGAAACCAAGGAAGACACAGGGATGTTCGCGAGCAAACAACTTGTTCGCGCCAGGGGCGCGAACGTGGGCCAGGGAGGCCCAGACTCGGTAGTCAGCTGCTACACCTCGAGAACCTGTCCAAAGGAAGACCTGCTTCACTCGTGGCCGGTGCGTCACTGGGCCACATGTTCAATTGGTGCGCAGCGTAGCGGACGGCCTGGGGCCACAGGAACTGGGGGGCACCGGCATGGCACATGGAGGAACGGGCAACCTCCATAACCAGGCCGATGCGTCGCTCAGCGACCCCGTTCTGCTGTGGCGAGGCTGGTAGCGTGTAGGACTGGACGATCCCCTGAGCCCCACAGAACGCCGACAGTCGAGTGGAGTCAAACTCACCACCACGGTCCGAGTGTAGACGTAGTCCACGAAGGCCCTGGGCGCCACCCCTCGCTAGTAGCCACGGCTCTAGGACGCTAGGAATGTCGGCCTTCCGTCGCAAGTGAAACACCGTGGTGAAGCGGGAGAAGTCGTCCACCACAATCAGGAAGAAGCGCTCCTTGCCTGTGCCAAGGACCGGGGAGGGGCCCGAGACGTCCAAGTGCAGGGTCTGTAAGGGAGCCGTGGTGGGGGGGAACGAGAAGGAGTGAGGGGCAGCGCGCTGCCGACCCTCGACGCAAGGAGTGCACGGTGGCGCAGGCGAGCAGGGAAGCGGGGCGAGCGACTCTGGGAGACCTGAGACCAAACGGTGGCGTACCATCCTACTAAGACGCGGGAAGGACGGGTGACCTAGACGGTGGTGCCAGAGGACCGACGGGTGGGTGAGTGACCGACAGTCGCACGACACAGCAGCTACCTGACCTGACCTAACCTGACCTGACCCAGTGTGGTGGGACCCAGTGTGTAGTGAGTACAGACCAGAGCCCGGCTCCCTGTGGAAAGTGGCCAAAGCCACCCCAGTGGAACCGACTGTGCAGGAGGCAACTGGCTCGTCTAGTAAGAAAGTAGTGACTACGCCTAGGTCGTGGAGGTGGCAGACACCCACCAGGTTCCTGGAGAACGAGGGGGAGTATTAACCTGTGAGGAACCCAGAGGGAGCCGCCGGACACGGGAGAGTGGTGGTGCTGTGGGCAACTACAGGTCCCTCAGAGGGGTCAGCCAAGGCGACAGTGACTGGAGTGCGCAGTGGCGTGAGGTCAGTACAGTCGCGAAAGAAACAGCTGGACGATCCATGGTCTAGGGTGAAGGTAAGCGGTGCAGTCTGCGAGGTCGCACCCGAGCCAGCGACAAAGGCTGGTGCTAGACTAGTGGTAGCTGCAGCTACCACACAAAGACCCTCAGAGGCTCCTGGACTGGAAACTACACACGCACCAAGACTGGAAACACAGGTCTCTAGTCGTGCAGCCGGGAAAGGTTCTAGACCAGGTAGGTGAGACTCAACTGGTGCAGCAGTGCACTGGCGAAGACGGGCCAGTGCGGTGTAATAGCGTGAGGACCAAAACGCTCACGGTGGAGGTCGTCGAGGCGACGGTAGCAGCGGGACGCAGAGTGGTCAGGACTCCAGCAGGTAGTGCCAGCACCAGGGCCTGTTAGGGCCCGGTACCTGCAGGGGCCGACGTCTCGCCCACTGCTAGCTGAGCCACTGCTGGGGGCGCCACACTTTGGACCCGCAGGTCCCCACTTCTGGGAGTGCTGCGGCTGGCCTTGCTGCTGTAGAACCCTAGTACACGCCATGTGAGGAGCTAGAAATGGGGGGTGGTTCTGGCAGGTGGGCCTAAACTACTGCTGGTGCAGCTGGCGGCAGCCAAAGCTGCTGCTGGGGGCCAGCCGATGTTGCTGTTGGTTCTGCTGGGGGCAGCCTAAACGGCTGCTGGTGCGCTGGGGGCAGCCTATGCTGCTGCTGGTTCTGCTGGGGGCAGCCTAAGCTGCTGTTGGTGCGCTGGGGGCAGCCTATGCTACTGCTGGTTCTGCTGGGGGCAGCCTAAGTTGCTGTTGGTGTGCTGGCGGTAGCCTAAGCTGCTGTTGGTGCGCTGGGGGCAGCTTATGCTGCTGCTGGTTCTGCT